GGCTACATGGTAGGAGCTACACAGTGATCTGCAGTTGGTAGTTGCCTGTGCTGGAGGTGTGTGAGAGAGTCCACACTGTGAATTGAGGCTGGCTGCCACCAGTACTGGACCTGGGGCAGCTCAGCAAAAGGCTCAGGGCATCCTGAGACCTGCCACCATCTGCCAGCTAACTGAGGGGCTCAACCGCTGAAAGAATATCTTGTGGTACACAAGTTGGGTGAGGTGGGGTCTCAGGGAGTCACCAGGGTTGGGTGAGTAGTGATCACCAGGTTAATGCAGACTCATATTTGGTGCCAGTGCTGAGCCTGGGTCCACTCAGCAAAATGCACAAAGCACACTGAGGACAGCCACCTCCCACCTGGAGTCCACGGACCCCTGAGAATTGTCCAAGAAAGACTAGAGCTCGGGCCTAAGGTCACTGTCCACCACCAAAAGAGCCTCCAGCTCTGCATGTGTTAGGTAGGGTGGGGTCCCAGGGAGTCACCAGGGTGGAGTGGGCACAGTTTACCAGGCCAACACTGATTCAGATTTGGCCATGTGTGGGGAGGGCTCAACACAGGAAAGATGACACCTGCACGCTGGCTACACAGGAGGAGGGCTCAACACAAGGACAATGGTGGCTGTCTCTCCAGCCTCATTCTGAAGCCACACAACTCAGTCTCTTCCTGGTGCCTCCTGAGCCAACATTCTTCTTCAGGAGCCCAGGATTAGTACCTGTGAGTGAGTAAGTCTGTGAACAAGTCCTTCCCAGAAGCCTTCTGTCTCACCAGGATAGACAGAATCCCTGCTGATTTTTACAGCCAGATGTTATGCGGACTCCTCTTCCCGGCACTGGTGCTCAGGGATGGGTAGCCCGATGTGGGACTGAGATCCCTCACTCTTCAGGGGGAACCTCTGCAGCAGAGATATCCCTCCCAATTTTCAATGGCCACACATGAGTGTGGGACCAGCCTGGTTAGCATTTCCACCCCTCCTAGGAATTTCAATGTTGCTTCTTTTTTATTTCCTTAATTATAGGACTTCTGTTCAGCTAGTCTTCATATGGTTCTTCAGGTTGATTGTTCTATAATTTATTTGTAATTTTAATTTGGTCATAGGAGGAAGCAAGCACAGTGTTTACCTACTCCAACATCTTAACTGGAACCCTGATAGCAACTGAAATTTTTGTTTTGCAGGTGGATGTATTAAAGCTTTGTTTCATGTGTTTCTCAAAAAGGATGGGGAGTTTGTTTTATATTTATTAGAATGTAAGACTTTATGAATAAAACCAATCACTGATAGACACATCTAAGGCAAGTCCGGGTTTGTGGTGACATAGCCTTCTTTTCTATGAACATACAAATATATTGGATTGTTGGAAAAGTCAAGATGCATTTTTGTAATGAAAAACATAAAAAAATACATCATGACTTTTCCGACAACCAAATATTTTAAGTTTAAGTTAAAAATATAAATTGCAAAGAGAGTAAAATAGATGTCAGTGTGTAAGAAAGATGGATAATGAGAGAGGAAGGGTATGCTCATAATCTCTCAACACATGATAGTCATGAGTACAGACCGGCTATGAAATGGAGCCCACATCTGGCAAGGTTGTCACAGGTTCTGGTAAGTTACAGCATTAACAAATATTGGAAACAAATTAAATGAAGAAAACACAAGAAAGGAGAAAGGGCCATGCAAATATATAACCAAGAAATGGAAATATTTGAAAATATAACAGCCACTAGAAGACAGAGTTGATCTTGGTTTATATTTTTTATTTGTAAAAGTAAAACTTTCTTGTTTTGATAAAATGTTATAGAAATACATGAAGTCAAAAGTACAAGTTTCCATCCATCTTCCTCTCTGTCTCAATCATTTCCCAGGGGTAGCATCAAGATACTGACAGTGGAAAAGTCAGTAGTATTATTGTGTACTAGACTGCACATCACTTTAATTATAGATACTTAAAACAGAAATTTTTATCATGGAAAAATTTAAACATGTAAAAGTAAAGAGAATAGTAAAATGAACCCTAATGTACTCATCATCTAACTGCTACAACTACTACCTTGTGCTAATCATCATATTTACTTTTTAAGATATGAAGTCCAAAATACTGGTGGTGATGGAACCAAATATGGCACCATGGAGTATAACTTATAAAGTGTGCTTTGGTGATATGAACAATGTATTCTGGGTACACAAAGCCAAAAGAAGTAGCTGGAGATACAGAGTACTCTGTGATTACGTTAAATTGCCCTGGGTGGAGCTATTGTGAAGACTGCTCATTTATGCTCTTACTGCTTTTATTTTCACTATTGTAACCCTAGCCGTTAGTATATTCCCTAGCACATAGTAGATGCTCAAAAACTGTTGTTGAATGAATGAGCCCTATTTGCAGTTTAGATCTCAGCAGCATGAAGGAGATGGTGCATTGCAGTATAAATAACCTTTGCAGAATGCTTCCTAGTGTGTATCAGGTGCTTACTATGTGCTAGATTCATGTGCTTACCAAGGTGTTAGGCCCTAGTCTAAGTGTGTTACATGGAATACTTCATTTAATTCTTGCAAAAATCCAAAGAAGACAGTACTGTTATCATCTTTTGTGTTTCATAGGTACACAACTAGTAAATTAATCAAGACCACATGGACTGTAAGGGGTAGATCTAAGAGTCAAGCCCGGCCAGTGTGGCCCCAGAGTCTGTGCATGTAGCACCATTCTTTGTTGTTTTACCCCCAAATGTGTCTGAATTCCATCTATGGAGCACTGAACATATTTGAGCACTTTGATAGATGGTGATCATACCTGTACTGCTAGATTAACTCATGAAATCACTCTTTGCAATGGTGCCTGATAATGGAAGGTGTTGCACAGGGACAGACTTTTTTTTTTTTTTGAAAGCAGACATTGTCAGTTTTCATGAACACAAGGCACTTCTGAGTGCTGTGTGGGAGGGAATGTGGTAGACTGATTTCATTGAGACCCTGCCAAATTCTGGTCTTGTGGCCATCAAAGACGCATCATTTCCTCCAAGACTTCTAAAAGGGGCTATTACCATGGCCTGCAGGTTCTGGTTTGCATTCAGAGGAGACACTATCTTCTTAAGTGAGATGCAGAAGAGGAAGTGTCATGAATTGTAAATAAGCCTGAGAGAGGAGAATTGTTTAGGGATAGAGATGGAGAAAAATTGCCTTCTCCAAGTCAGGTTCCATCTCCCTCCCCCTTATACAACTTTGCCAGAGCCCATCCTGTTTTCTTTGCTGAGTTTACTAGCAGGAAGCGAGGAGTTTCTCTAAGGACATTCCTGCCTCTGACAAATAAATAACTATTAGATTAAATATTAGTACATATATACAGTGGAACACCATGCCACTATTTTAAAAGACAAGATGGAGTCTGAGGGCTGATGCAGAATGATCTACAAGTTATATTTTAAAGTGAAAAAAAAGCATAGACTCAATCAGTATTTATACCAAGGTTACTCTGTGGAAGGAGGAAGTTATACTTTTATGTGCACAGAATTTACTTGAAAAAAAAGGAAAGGTAAAAATGCTTGCCTCTGCTGAAGAAAAAGCTTTTCATTCTAAACTTTTTCTTATTAAAATAATTTTTTTAAACTACATATATGCATATTTCAGAGTTTCAATTGTCAAGCTGGCAAAGTAGAAGGGTGAATGTGATAAAATATTTTTTAAAATGGTAGAACAAAAGCAATGCTTTACATGAACTGTGTATTTCAGAAGGATGGGTTTGGACTGGATGTAGAAATAATAATTCTACCTCTTCATCTCCCTGAAGGATGGTCCTTTAAGCTGTCATTCAGAATGCCTGGGAAAGAGACAAGGATCTATCTGGACATCCCTATTTAATGAAATTGAGGACCATTTGATGTCCCTCCCCAGGAGTCAGGAGAAATGGGGAGAAAAGAAGGAACACATTTGGTCAGAGGAATTCGAGTTCTCCTCCCAACAGCGCCACAAGTCTACACATGTGGGGAGAGTTGTGAAGTTCGGTACAGCGTGTTCTGGGCGCCCAGGGTCTGGGAACTTTCGCTTCATTGCTTCTCCAGTGAAGCCAGTAGCTGGGCCTCCTTCCCTCTGCCTAAGGGTATCTTGGCTGGAAGGTCTGCTTTGAAAAAGGGCTCGGCCTAAGACCCAAGAAGATTCATGCTAGGGACTCCTAGTGGGGTAACACACTGGACAAAAGCCCTTTCTCAAGGAGAGCCTCTCTCGCGAGACGGATGACCCTCACACTGTGAGTACTCCAGAGATCTGAGTACCTCCAGCTTGAGGCCTGGAGTAGGTTATTTTGGGGGGAAAGCCAGGTTGGGGGCAGGGTGTGGTCTCAAATTTAAATGACTTTTGGGGCTAGACAGGTAACTTAAAAACACTAGGAGCCTCCCGATATAAGAGGAAATAGCGGGAACTCTTGAGGAACTGGGCACGTGTATATTGTGACTAAAGGCATTCAGATTCAGATTTTTAAACTTCAACTGTGATGGCCAAGCAAAACACACGTACTGGCTGGAGTCACTGCCAGTTTGCCATCCTGAGTTCGTTTTGGCTCAGTATCCGCTTCTCTAGTTGCTTCAGTCTGCTGCTGATCCTCAACCTGTTCCCCAGCCACTTGAGTCTCCTGCAGCGCTGAGGACCGTCCTAAACTTTCGCGTGCCTCCTGAGGGCGCAGTGTCCCTTGTTGCGCTCCTAGTATTGCTCCCCAATATCTCGGGGGGGGGGTGGCCAGCAACCGACTGAACCTTGGAGTGGCTCAGAACCAGTTACGGGCTACATTTTATTTCCGTCAGAAACGGAGTGGTTGCGCCAGGGACATCCTCACTCGGACCATTCCGGGCCAGGCTCTATCACCGGCCAAGAGTAGAGATGGCGAGATGGACGTGGGGAGCCGGCGATTCCGGCCCGGTACCCGGCTGAGGGGTGGGGCAGGCTGCAGAGGGGGAGCCCCGCCCCCTACCCTGCCCCGCATGGCCCCGCCCCTGCGCTCTAGAGTTTCGGTCCCGGCTCCCACCCTCTACTGAGTCCCGGGACCCCGGGAGAGCAGGCAGTGCATGGTTGTGTTTCCTCTGCCCGCGAGGGGCATCACTTGCGCGCTACAGAAAGCCCAGAGCTGTCCCGCAGCCGGGATATCCTCTCTCTCTCACCAGCACCGGCAGACGCCCCTGCGGCCGCGGCGGGAGCCAGGACACCCTCGCCCCGAGCGCTCCGGAGTCCTGCCCCGAGGCAAGCGTTCCACCTCCACGCCTTCTTCGTGGGGCTGGCCAGGGGAGAAAGAACCGGCGCCCGAGTTCTGGGCACTGCGCCTGGCGCGAGGTGAGGGATGGAGGGCAAGGCGCTGCTGGCCATCGCTCTGTGGCTCTGCGTGGAGACCGGGGCTGCCACTGAGGGTAAGGAACCCGCTCCCTAGAAGGAAGGCGGAGAGGTTGGGTGCGGACAGAGAGATGGGGTTGCGGAGAGGACCTGGAGGCCGGATTTAACTCGGAATCATATAGCTGGAGAGTTGAAAGCGACTTGACACTTCGTTCTTTCATTTATCAATGAGGAAACTGAGGCTCAGCAACTGGCCCAAGACTGCCTAGCGAGTTCGTGGTCTCCTGAGCCCAGTTTCTTTTCCACGACTCTGGTCTCCGACAGGGGCCTCGGCTCGAGCGTGTCCTGCGGAGCTTACACACCCTCGGGCTCTCGGGAGGTGCGTGTGGGAAGGCGCCCGGGGCTGGTGGAAAAGAGGTACTCCCTCAGGCGGGAACCCGCGGGGAAACTTTGTCGCGCTGCGCGTCCCATCCTGGTCCGCGCACAGAGTAGGAAGCCTTGCAGGGAGCGCAGCAAGCCAGTCCGCTAGGATCTCACGTGCACTCAGCTCTTCCTCTGGAGGAGTCGAGCGGGGACCCGGGTCGGCTGTTCCCTTTTGGTTCGAACTCACTTGCACATCCACTGTATGAGGTGGGGACCACGGGGAGGGAAACTTTTTCCTCTTCCTCGGTGCAGGACGCCGCTCTCCTTGAAGAGAAGGGGAAATTGGGGCTTGGACCCAGGACTTTGACAGCTTCACCAAGTGTCTCCAAATAACAGCCACCCTCCTATGTAAAACTATTTAACATCTTTCAGAGAGCTTGGGTTCTTGCGATAAGCGATGGTCAGAAGTTCACGTTCTGAAAACTTACTCGGTGGGACTACGTACCTAAATTGAACGCCACACGCCACTCTCCTTGCCACCAAATACTTATCTCCTTCAAGACTAGGAACACACATGCGCTTGATGCAATAAATTCTCTTTCCTTTTTTCCTTTCTTTCTTCCCCTCCCCCCCCCCACCCCCAACCTTTTTTCTGTGTCCACAGTTTGCTGATTTCCAGATTTCCACTCTTTGGAGGGTGAGAAGGGGAGAGGGTGGAGAATGGAAAAAAAAAAAAAAAGGTCAAGTAATTCAGGGAAAAATTCCTTGTATCAAAAGAAAAGAACTAGGTCTTTAAAAAAAGACACACATATACAGTAACAAGATCATCTGTCTATAGTTATTGAATTTTCTTAATGACTTGGTTCATCAGGGCCAGCTCCATCATGGACACTCATTTGTCCCTGACAAGACCTCTCTCTCCCTTTATGGGGAGAGAATGAAGGTCTGGAACATGTGGTTGTTCTGTATCCCACAAAGAAGTGAGTTGCTTTTAAGCCTGGGGTGTTTCATAGCGCAGCAGTAGTAAACTAATCGGGTTGCCCTGAATATAATGATGAGGTTGCCCTTTTGGAGTGTGTGACTTGCTTAATTGGATTGGGCTATAATTGGTGCCATCAGATTCTGGAGACAGAGGCACTCTTGTTTTTCCTTCCTGCCTTTGAGCTGGAAGGGTAACAGTGCACAAATTAATTAATTTTGGTTATGGGACTTGAATATAGAAAGGCTTTTTATTGAGTAGCAGCATATGTAGTTCTTATAGTTATGTCTTATAGCTACGATTTTCTGAAGAGTAGAACTCAAACTTGCCAATGAAAATGAATGAAGCTTAATGGAGAAAAAAAATTGAGTGTTGGTCTACAGAAACGAATTCAAAGTTACCATTACTGATAGCCTTGTTGCATAATTTTTTGTTGTTGTAGATGTGTCTAGAATAGAATGGTGTTGTTTTGGCTTCCCATGAACAGAGGACATATCTTAAAATTTTTTTTTAAGTGGGAAAGTGTGTCTGGAGTGTGAGTTACTCTGTAGCAATAATTTAAGAGAGCTTCAAGAATCCCTTATTTTGATGGTTAGGTAGGCAGAGCTTAGTCTCTACTACCATTTTTCCCCCCTCACATGAATGTGCTCACATAACGGGTTATTTCTCATTTGGATCATTGTGTGAATTGTATTAAGTTACTGTTTTCAACATGTTTCTCAACCTAGTGTTTTGCAATTTTGATATCTGTGCTCATCCAAAATGATTGTTTTCGTTTTCCTTTTCTTGTTCAAAGAGGGACTCTATTGTGGGAAGACTTTTCCTTTGCCTTTTAAACATTTTGCTTTATTGTTTACCTAGTTTGGGGGTCGTTATTTCCTTCATATTGAAAAGTGCTGTGCTAATTAACTGACCACCCAGACCAATAACTGTCCAAGAGTGACCCGTATACCATGTACGACCCAATAACTGAAATTCTTGTTAAAATGCAAATTTGCAGGCCCAGGAATATTCTGACACATCCTAAAGTCTAAGACTCACTGCCCCAAACACAAGTCAGCACCAAAGCCAATTTTTTCCTGAGATTTATTGACATAATTTAATTTCCAGGGTTTAAAAATTTTTTTGATGATATTTTTTACTATGCTATTGATCAATGAGTCAACAGTTATGTCAGCAACCTATTTTGCACATCTGGGTGAGTGTGTGGGAACATGTGGGATCAGATCATTTTGCCTGCAGCTGTTCACATTGGGGTCCACAGATTCAATGCATTGGATATTTGCCCTGGATATTTGCTCATACTCTGTTTTACTCACAGTCTCTCATATTTGCTAGTAATCTCTTATTTGCCCAACAAGGTCAATGCCATTTTAGGCGTACAGAGTCATTTGTTCTTAGTTGATGTGAGTTAATGATCATATTAAACTTGGATGCTTGCCCAGCATCAATCTCTTTAAGGTGGGGTTTTGAGGATCTGGATATCAGTTATGACCCGAGCATTGTGGACAGTTTTTCTCTTCTGATGTTTTTTTCAACACTTGGTAGCTCACCACATTTAGTTGACAGAGAACTCAGTTTTCTTGCTGTGGAGTAACCCAGGGGGAGGAAGTCTGTCCCATGGTATTTTTAGGGAAAGTCAGTTTTCTGGTGTTCCAAGCTTGGTATCAGGAGAAACTCAGAGTTTTGATTATAAGGTTGAAATTCCCGAATTGTAATTTCTTCGCATTATGCTTTTTCTAGTCCCATTCTCTAAGGAAAAGTATATTAATAGGCATATTATATCACATTGGAAAATATTTTCTTTTACTCCATTCCTCCAACTAGTTTTAATGTAGTCTTTGAACCTTGGCAGTTCAGTAACCAGAGGAAGTGCACTAGAAAATTGATACAGGAAAATGAGACAAGGTCATGGATACCCCCACCCTTCAGGGTACATAGATGAACTGTATAGAAATCCCTCTAAGTAGTATTCACTAATCAGCAGTTTGGTCAAATGTGTGCATCCTATGTTTTATAAGAAATGTCAGCGGGTCCTTTCCCAAGGGAGTGAGATCATCAGATGAAGGTTCATTTAGTTTCAATGTCCCATATCCTTTTGTAAGACCTTGAAGTTGGCAATGCAGGAAAACAGGAACTCCACCCTAGCTCCGTGAATTGCAGAACTGTTGTGTTGGTTTATGACCATCTGCCCATTCTTCCTGTTATGACACAGCTTGTGAACTTTTACTGGGAATGGTGAAAAGTAAATTCACGGTTTTGCACAATGAATTGCTGAGGAGGCCTTTTAGAGTATGGGGTATGCATTGTGTATGGAAGGTGTTTCCTATTGGGTCTGAACTTAGTGGCAACTACATTTATTTATTTAATTTGTTTCTAGGTTTGCCTAGTGTTTCTCTTGATCCACCCAGTCTCAGCATTCAAAAAGACTTCCTTACGATTATGGCTAATACAACTCTTCAAATTACTTGCAGGTAAGGATTGATTTTAGATTCATATTTCCTGTGTCAAATAACTTATTGTTTACTGAGTACAAAATAATTTCCATATAGCAGAATTATAATCGTTTTATAGTAATTGTTTATAAGTAGTGAGGTTTCTAAGAAATGATGTAATAACGAAAAAATGAGAAAGGTCTTCTCCCAAGAATCTGGCATGATTTTGCTGGCATTTTTTTCTGCTGCCCTCTGCCAATACCTGCACCCCTTCCCTCCCACACACATATCTTAATAACCAATAAAGCACCTGGCATATAGTATATAGTAGACACTCAATAAATATTGAATGGATAAATAGAATAAAGGACATACTCTTAAGGGATAGAGTTGAAGAAGTTTTTAGGCCATATTTATAATACTCAGAGTAGTGCTCCAGTATTGTTCAATCCTTTTCAAGAACTTTATTTCATGATAAAGTTCTGACTGTAGTAGCAATTTAATATTCAGCCATTAGCATTACTGAGTGCATGTTCTGCACAGGTAATGAACTTCATGTTGTCGCTTGATATTCTGGAATGCCTCTCTTCTCACTTGTTAGCAAGAACTCATGGTATTGATTTATGAATGTAGCTGCAACTTCATGGAAATTTCAAGTTCTTTGAAAGAATGCTTAGTGAAGTTGCATTCTTCTTGACATTGACTGTCTTCCTTGGGACCTTGTCAAGAAATGCTTCAATAAAAGTAATCTATGTTTTAATGCACCCCTCACTAGGTCCTATGAGGCTCTTAAGCAGTTGCATCCTTTCCTTCCTTACCTCACTTCTTACTCTCCTGCTTGCCCACTCTTATCTAGCTGTGTAGTAGTCCAGCTATGTGCCCACTCCAAGGCCTTTACATTTGCTGTTCCCACTGCCTGAAATACTGTTCCTCCCAATATTCATTAAGTCCCCTCCCTCCAGAACTCTTCACTCTTTTCTTTGCATCATCTATATTTTGCCCATGGTACTTATCACCATGGTTTAAAAAATCCATTTTAATTACTTTTTAAAAAATGTCAGCTTTATTGAGGTTTATGTACTTTTTTATTGCCTGTCTCCTCCAACTAGACTGAGATTTCATAAAGACATTGGTTTTTGTTGTTGTTGTTGTTCACTGCTGTATCTCCAGTTTTTAATGATGTTTGGCACATAACACATGCTGAATAAGTATTTGGTGTATGAATTAATTAGTCAATAATTAATAGGAAACTCAGAATCCCTATAAGTGATTTCTGAAGCCGAGTCTATGGCTTGTTGTCATTTATTGATATAACCTGTCATTGTTGGTAGACGTCCGTGACTCTGTTGAGAAGTTTATATAAGCTTGAGAACCGAAACTTCTGTTTTCTTAGAAACAACCTCATAGTGTGGCATTTCACATTAATACTTTCCTGGAATTAATTTTTCAGAGGACAGAGGGACTTGGACTGGCTCTGGCCCAACAATCACAGTGGTTCTGAGGAAGGAGTGGAGGTGACCGAGTGCAGTGATGACAACTTCTTCTGTAAGACACTCACAATTCCGAAAGTGATCGGAAATGATACTGGACCCTACAAGTGCTTCTACAGGAATACAGACACGGCCTCCGTTGTTTATGTCTATGTTCAAGGTAAGTGGTTAAAAGAAATTCATTTCCCATGTTGATTTACCATCTGTATACACAATAGGCTCAAAGAAGAATCGAGTACAACAAAAGGCTCTCCCTAAAGGCTCTGTGCCGACAGGAATATACAAAACTCTTCTCTCCCAAGGTTTCCTCTGAGAATAAGACTCATTGATTTGTTCTGGAGCTTGGGCTCTGTTACATCTCTTTGGCCTAATTAGTTTTGTTCTGATCTGTATTTCCAAGGGAATTCTGTGTTCACAATTGGCTATGGAGATTTATAAAAAGCCTTCTGATGTTTGAGAAAAAAACCAAAAACTGAAATACTTGAAAAGGAAGGTTCAGAGTGAATTATGGAGAGGTTTCTGTGGAGAGATAGGTTATCTATAGCAGAGTAGGAGATTTCCCCAAGAATGCACAGGGAAACAGCCAAGGGCTCTGGAACTTTTTGGTGCATAGGTACTTTTCTTTTCCCTCTTGTACTTTACAATAAACAATTCCCATAATGTGGTACAAAAGAAGATGGGGCCTCAAAGGGCCTTTTGAGGACTGTGTTTGTTTCCTTTGCTTGTATGGTCTGAGATCTTGGATGATATGCCACATCCTTCTAGAGTGTGAAATTTGGGATTGACACCATGGATGCTAACTTAACATCCATGTAGGATAAAATACAATGTTACATGTATTTAGTATTTATCATATGAATTATCCTTTCTTTTGTATTTCAAAAATCTTCTACCTGAATTTCCCTGTGAAAACTTGACTTAACTAATGAGATACTTATCATATAATTTAGGGGATGTAAGTGTTGTATAATATTTTGCTTGAATGTACTAAATATTTTTTTCCAGTGAAGATGAGCTTTGTAGACATTTTATTTATACATTTATATACCTCTTTTCCCAGAGGATTTGAGTGAAGTGAAGATGGCTTAGCCTTTTTTTCCAGAATCATCTTTTATCAAACAGGAATTTTCTCAGCTTTGGGAAACATAGTTGCATATCTCCATTTATATTTCAATTGTGCAGTATGGTCAGTGCAATGGAAAAGTGGCGATCACATCAAAATAATGCATGTCACTCTTGGATTGTATAATATTTGAGAATTATTTTTGTCCAGGGTAAGCACAATCCAAGATAGAATTCTGTGCCCTCCTCCTCCCCTCTGCAGAATTTGAAAGAGACAAGGCTCAGATCTTCAAGAATTTCTGGCTCCTTTTGATCTGGCAGTCTTGGGAGACCAGGCTTTCCCAGAAGATTGCAAGGATTTCCTGCTTTCAGCCTGTCTGGAAATAGACTACAAGATGAACCTTTCCCATAATATCTCGTTATTTCCTTCTCCCTGGAGTCAGGAAACCTGGAGACATGTGAAAATCCATTTCATGAGCTTCAGTAAATATTTTATTTTGAGAGGATGGGTGGTTGTTTGGGTTTATTTTGTTTGTTTCCTTTTTGGGGATACTGAAATAGAATTGATTTACTGAATAGCTTTAGTCTTACGTCAAGGGGTTAATTTAGCACCTAAAGGCATCCGTAAAGCAAGCGAAAGGCTTGCTCTGTAAGCAAGCTATGTAACATTTCTTAGCATGTCGATGAAAGGTAGGTAACATTAAGAAGCAGCAAGCCCTAGCCCTGTTTATTTGTACACTGCTCATCTTGGTATACCTTCAAATTCTGCTTCCTGTTTAAGAGGGGCTCTAAGATTTTGGTCATTAAGCTTAACAATGGGAAGGAAAACACTGAAGTATTCTCTATGGACAGCCCTTTAATGTCCCCTCTGGTCCCCATCTTACTTCCCTAGTCTTCTGATCCCATCCCCTCTACCAATGGATGGAGCCAGGAAGTGGGTCCTGGCTTCGCAAGATAATGGCTATGGCATGTGATGGACTGGATTGGCTGCCTTTCTGTGCTTTCCAGCTGGGAAGGAAATCACACTTCTAATGTTGCAGAGAATTAGCTGCTTTTCTCCCCTTTATTTTAAATTAACTCTTCCTTCATTTGGGCCAACCATCCTGAAGAGCTCTGAAAATGCCCAGTCAGGTGTGTTGGGCATAACAGTCTGAACCATTATCTCTCTGAGATTTCAAGCATGACTCACACCACATCAACTCTATCTCTGGGGAATGGGGGAGTTTCCCAGCAGCACATTAACATTGTATAAACAATATTTGAGTGATATTAAAATCTCTTTTGTTTTCTTCTCACTCTGCTATGGTGGCTTTTTAAGTTTTTGTCATCGAAGATATTAATGACTGCTGAATCTTAAATGTGATAACTATTAAACACTATTTTATAAGGAATCTTATACCTAGTCTTTACAATCTTAAAATACCCATATAAAACTTTCTCTGGAATAGTTGAATTCAAAAATTGTTAGTTATTTCTTGTTTATTTTAAAGGTCCTTTGGAATCCATTGATTATTTTCATGGCATTTACATTATTTGCCTAGAGAAAGAGAACATGAATTTTTTAACATCAATAAAACTCAGTTTATAAAGTGTAAGATTTAATTTTAAGTTTAATTTGAAATTTATATAGATGAAAAAATGTAGTGTATATGAAAAATGTATATGTGTATATGAAAATGTATATGAAAAATGAAGAAGTATGCTCTTTCATTTTGAAAAAAATTATAATGACCGACTTGTTTAAATGTGGTACCTATAAAATATAGTCTACTTATTGATGATATTTATGAAATGAGTCACTCCCATTCTGGGAGTTTTCTTTCAGATTTTTCACACACACACACACACACACACACACACACACACACACACACACATACACACACACCCTTCCTGTAGCATATCCTTGGAGCCAGATACCTACCAGCAGATCGACCTGTGTATTCCTTTGCCTAATGTGAAATGTCATTCCCAAGATATTTCATGACCATGAATTCAGGACCATGAATTCTCTGGTCAGAGTTTATGAACCTGAAAGATAACCAACTTTTCTAGTAAATACATGAATTAAATGGAATTAAATTTTCTTTTAGATTACAGATCTCCATTTATTGCTTCTGTTAGTGACCAACATGGAGTTGTGTACATCACGGAGAACAAAAACAAAACTGTGGTGATTCCATGTCTTGGGTCCATTTCAAACCTCAACGTGTCACTTTGTGCAGTAAGTTACATCTTCAGTCATCTCTTACGGTGTCACAATTTTAAGCTAATATTAAGATGGGTAACCTGTTTATAATATAACATCAACAATGAGATTTAAAGATTTGTTAGGAAGGGTCAAAATGACAATAAATAAAACTAATTTGTATTCTTAAAAATATTAATTCTTTTTTTTTTTTAAGATTTTTATTGGGGAATTGGGGGGATGGGAACAGTGCTGGGGAATTGGGGGAAGGGCAACAGACAAGTTGCTGTAGTTTTGTTCTTCAATCTAGTTGTGGAGGATGTTGCTTCACTGGCCCAAGTTGGCACCATCATTGCGCTCTTCTCTGGCGAGGCAGATCAGTCGCCGGCTTCTGGACGGCCGCTCACTGCGGCTGCTGGCCGCTCACGCTGGCTGCTGGCTACATACTGTAGCCCATGGCAACCCACTGTCACAGGGACTGCAGCCTATGCTGTCGCCGGCGACTCAAGGCAGCCCAGCTCCAGGTTGAGCTGTTGTTCAGCATCTTAGCTGTAGAGGGCAGTGTCACTGGCCCTCATATGTGGGATCCGAACCGCGGCTCTCTGGCATCCCAAGCGAGTTCTTAACCATCGCGGCCACTTGGCCGGCCCAATATTAATTCTTTAGTGATAATTTTACATGGTTCTGCTTTTGGCTAGCCCTTGATTAAATATTTGATATTTCATTTTCTACCCAGAGATATCCAGAAAAGAGATTTGTTCCTGATGGTAACAGAATTTTCTGGGACAGCAAGAAAGGTTTCACTATTCCCAGCTACATGATCAGCTATGCCGGCATGGTCTTCTGTGAAGCAAAAATCAATGATGAAAGTTATCAGTCTATTATGTACATAGTTGCGGTTGTAGGTAAGAAGACACTCCCTTTCTATATCATGATTATCAGACAATAAAAGTTGGCATCCTATATTAAGATCCTGGAGGTTTGATTAAGGTATGAGTTGAAAGACAAGGGATTTGAAAAATATATTAACTCAAAATACAGTGTTGGGCAACTCATCATATCTATATTCTTTTTTATCAAATAAACCTATGTACTCATATAATCAAGATTTTTTTCTTTTCTTGCCAAGACTGAAGATGCAAAAGTGAAACATATTTCATGGAAAATTTAATGTTGCTTGGCATCAATTCTTTTAATTATATCAGCTTAATGGAAAGTTCAGCAATTTACTGAAGCTGGCCCCATTGGCTATTGACTACTCAAATCTCACTACTTTTCTATCCCCGGGGTTACATCTGTAAGATTCCCATAGGTGTGCTTTGTAAATCTCCATAGGCCATTCTTTTTTGGAAGTTACCAAGTGTTGGTGAGGCCCTCAGGGAAAGCTGATATGGCTCATTTTAAAGTTGCATCATTTTTTAAACAATATGTGCCAAGTTATAGATTTGTTTTCCTTCTCACTTTCTGTTTTTTCAATTTACTTGCTCTAGGGTACAAAATTTATGATGTGGTTCTGAGCCCCCCTCACAGAGTCGAGCTGTCTGCTGGAGAGAAGCTTGTTTTAAATTGTACAGCAAGGACTGAACTAAATGTGGGAATTGACTTCACCTGGGAATACCCTTCTTTGAAGGTAACACTAACAATTTAGAGCCAGATCTCTAAATATTTTGATAATCAGCACCAACAGAGTTTGCTTGAGAGAGATAGGGACCTCTCTAGCCAGATAAAATGTAAATGCCTTAACACACACAAATATACACATACACACATTGTTAAGAGAATTGCAGAACAGACAGCATCCATGGGAAAAAGATGCAATGCCAAGAACGCTGTCCCACTCTGCTATAATCAGGCAGTGAAGATTAGTTTCCTCCTGGTGATTACGTCTTCCCAGGTTGCATCGTTTCTCTGTTCTCCAAAGTCCTTGATCTATTTTCCCTTTAAGGGAGTGAGGGGAGTTTTCTCTTCAAGCAGTGGCATGAGACACACTTCTCCTTAAACAGTAGTCCTATTAGCCCATGTTTCTGTAGTTCATATCCGTCTCATTCCTACTATGTGAGGTTCTTAAAATCCTAATTCACTTGGTTCCATTTATTTCTACTGAAACCAAATATTTGTTGTCTAAGTATGTTAAAAGTCCTGAAGTCGCTCTTATTAGCATTACATAGCATTCACCGAGGGCCAAGACTTGATGTTGTGGGCATCTAGACGCTGCTGGGCAATGCTGTGCTGGACTTTGGAAGTTCAGTAAACTCTTTTTCAGCATCAGCATCAGCATCAGCATCAGAAACTTGTAAACCGGGACCTAAAAGCCCAGTCTGGGACAGGGATGAAGAAATTTTTGAGCACCTTCACTATAGATAATGTAACCCGGAGTGACCAAGGATGGTACATCTGTGCGGCTTCCAGTGGGCCGATGACCACGAAAAACAAAACATTCGTCACAGTCCACGGTAAGCTGAGATTTCCTTTGGAATTATGCTGTGCCTTGCAAAGTGAGATAATTTAACTAAATGTAGGTCAGCTAGTGATTCCTATTTTGTTCATTCAGAAGATAGTTTTGAACTCTTGCTAGGGAGGCCACATGACCCACGGGTCAAGAGCATAGCGTGGGTTCAAATCCCAGCTTTAATGAATAATGATGAGAAGGGCCAGTGTATCACTTATGCTCACTAAATAGTACTTGTAGTTGTTGCTGCTATTATTATCACTACAAGCAAAGTGTTATTATCTAAGATAGTTTTTAAATTTTCATTTTATTGCAAAGCTAAGAGTCTTACTTGAATAAGCATGGGCTTTGCTGTTGGAGAAACCTGGATTTTAATTACTTTCTGTGGGGCTTTGAGCAAATAATTTCTCATCTAGTCTCTTCCACTCACATAAATGTCTCAGTTTAATTGATAATTTATGCGGCACCCAATTTATAAGCCTTGGTAAGGATTTTGGTTTTTATAATATGAGAATGCAGAGAGAGACATGCTTTGGCTTATGTTTTTATAGGATTACTATGTTGTTGTTGTTGTTGTTGTTGTTGCATGTGTGTTGTTTTCTATTTTATTGTTTTGAATGTGGAATACTTTAGGGAAATAAGGGCAGAAATAGAGAGACCAGTTAGGAGGCTAATTGCAATAATCCAGGTGACAGATGGTGAGTAGCTTGGACAAAGTGGTAGAGGTAGAAGTGGTGAGAAGTGATCTGATTTTGGATATATTTTTGAAGATAGAGCCAATAGGATCTGCCTGTTGGTTCACTGGCTGTGGAGTGTAAGAGGAAGAGAATGGAACATGACCTTTGGGTTTTTACCGTGAGCAACTGAGTGAATGGTGATTTCATCTACTTAGATAGGGAAGACTGAGAAGGAAGTAAGATTAGGAGAAATAGGATTGGGTATGTTCATTTGGCGATGCCCATTAAACATCCAAAAGGAGATATTTAATATATAAACCTGGAACTCAGAGAAGTCAGGGCAGGAGATACAAATTTATGAAGCTGTGAATGGCATTTTATGCCTGAGAGTAGAGCAAGGTGTAGATGAAGAGAAGATGTCTGAGGACTGAGTCCTCAAGCACAGGTTAGGTGTGTATAGAGTGTCATAGGAGCAGAGGAGAAGGAGCACCCAAGCATCCCTGGGGGGCTTAGAGGAAGCTCTACAGAGGAGAAAATGCTTGCATTGAGACTTCAGCAATGAATCGGCTTGCAGAGTGCACTTGGGGAGAGAGCAAATCAAACACAAAGCCTGGGGCTGTGGGAGAAGCTAGAATACAATTTATAGCAAGGAATCATGGGGAATCTCTGAATTCAGACCTCCAAGGCCTTTGACTTCTCATTTGAAATGAAATAATAAACCAAATGACCACTTACAATAAATTGACATTTATGAGAATAATGATTTTTATTTTCTTCCAGGAAAACCTTTCGTTTCTTTTAATAGAGGCATGGAATCTTTCGTGGAAGCCACGGTGGGAGGCCGTGTTACAGTCCCTGTGAAGTTCCATGGTTACCCTTCCCCGGAAATAAAATGGTAACTTTTAGAAATAAATGCAAAACGTTATGTCACATGAAAGCAAATCCTTAAATTGTACTCATTCCTGAGATTTTCCCCCCCTCCATAGGTATAAAAATGGAAGACCCATTGAGTCTAATCACACCATTAAAGTGGGGCATGAACTGACTATTATGGAAGTGAGTGAAAAAGATACAGGAAATTATACTGTCATCCTTACCAATCCCATTTCAAAGGAGAGACAGAGTCACGTGGTATCTCTGGTTGTGAATGGTGAGTCCATGCAGTTTTCCTTCTCTGCCCAAAATTTATTAGAAAGAGTATGATTATATCTTCCTAAACAGCCAGGCCACCATTCCTGGGTCACCTGCTGTTTCACTCACATCATGAATGGGCTCCTGTATATTAAAATGGTCCAGAGTGGTGGAGTTGAAATGAGGTGTAGAACAGTGTGCAGTGAACATGTTTGCTTAAGAGGCCATGTGAATGAACTGTCTGGTGGTCAAATGCAAGATTAAAGTAGATGTCCCCTTGATGGCTAAATGCTGTGAGATAAGAATGCCTGTGGGGACAGTTGACAAGCTTAAGTTGCACTACCTTTGCTCCTATCTCATGGAATTACATACCTGGCATGCACATGTGTAAGATTCTTCTTGAATTTTGTGGGAAGCTTCTAGTTTGACCTTGTAGTTGATGTATCTGTGATGCCCAGGCAGGCTGCCACTGTTGGCTGGTTGGAAGCTTCTCAATTTTTTTTTTCAAACAGGAGTCTAAGATCTGATTCAGGCCACAAAATAATAAGTTATTGACTTAAGGATCATTTGAACTTTATTTTCCCAAATTGAAAGATATACATAAGTGACTGGGAGAGGGGGGAGAAGCGAGTGGGGGGAAAGGTGTGTCATAATCAAGTAAGTGTGGGAGATGCTAAGTTGATGTAAAACAGGTGTCTTTGTTGTAGGACATCTCAGGGCCTTTAATGTGCTCATGTGTTTTGTCATTCTCCTGAGGGAGAGATATAGAGTGTTAAAGGTTTAACACACTTATTTGACCACAGCATCCTCCCACCCCCAGTAAATCCATTAATATCTTGCCCCAAACACAGTTTGGAAAACGCTTCTCTGTTATAATTCTTCATTCTCCCTGCTGGCATGACATATAAAAACTTCAGAAACTTTTCGTGTGACATGAAGGTGCTTCCCCATATATCCTGCTGCTATTTTGTATGTCTGTTGAGGTTGGCTTTATTTCTTTGCTGGGACATCAGCTTTAGGGAGTATTTTAATGGTAACAGCTTCCCAAAATGTCACTTCAAAGCCACTTGGGAGTAGAGGATTGGGGAGTGGAGAAAAGTTGAAAAGCTGATAAGTAAGGTGGGGGAAGGAAATGAACAAGCAATAAGGATGTAAAAATGGACAGTGAATAACTCCATATCATTAATTCATGAAGTAATTAAACATTTGACTTGCCCTAGCATTTACCCTCCTACATAAAATAAACATAAAAAAGTCAAGTTTTGAAAGTATAACCTAAGGTTGAAAGTGATGAGAAAATAGTTTCAAATGAATGACTTTGGAGCCAAAAAAAGAAAGAAAGAAAAAAGAGAGAGAGGGAGGGAGGAAGGAAGAGGAAGAAGGAGAGGGAGATGATGGAGAAGCAGGCGAGGTGAGTGACCCTGAGCAAGTCATTTACCTTTTCTATGTTTCATTTTTCTCACGTGTAAAGTGGAGGACAATAACAGTGGTTGTGTGGATTAAATGAGATAATCAGTGTAAATCACTTAGAACAATGCTCATTACATAATAAATGTACTTACTATATTATTGAAAACTATTTTCTTTTCTTTTTGCCTTGATCTTATGAGATTGGAGGACAAGGAGAATTACCCCTATGATGTAGATGAGAAATACTGAGACACACAGTTGCGAGATCTGCACAGACTCATTCAACTTATTATATTATTGTTGTTGTTGTTATCATTATTATTATTATTAGTAGTAGTAGTATCACTAGAAGTCAGGACTCTTGTTTCCAAGTCTAGATATTCTTTAAGAAACCAAAAGGGAGCAAAATCATCTGCTAAGAAAAATGTAGGCTTTAGTTGCTGAAAACTTCTGCTTTCCATTCCTCAAAGCTGATTGACAATTCAAAAGTTGTTTTTTCCGTATCCAGTCCCACCCCAGATTGGTGAGAAATCGCTGATCTCTTCCATGGACTCTTACAAGTACGGCACCACCCAAACGCTGACTTGCACAGTCTACGCTGTCCCGCCCCCGAATATCAACTGGTATTGGCAGCTGGAGGAGGAGTGCACCTACAACCCTACGTGAGTAGGGCCATGCCCTCTTTTCCTGCCATCTCCCATTTCTTCCAGCCAAGCTCTGATCTGATGGCATTTTAAGCTGAGACGGCTATCTCTAGGAAAGTTATCCCTCAGGTGGTAGTCTCCTTCAATCTTTCTCTATCTGATGTCTTTCTTTGGGGCACCCTGCTTTGAGATTAACTATCTCTCTCTTCTCAGGTTAGCCCTGCTGTACACCTTTGCAAATGCAGGCTCTTTGTTCACTTTGCTAATTGCCCGTTTTTGTTTTCTCTCCTTATACAAATCAGTTGGTGAATACCATATCTCTCCTTCTTATCTGGGAGAAGGTTCATCTTGAGGAAGTGCTGCTGGTTGCAAGGGACAGATAGACCTAGCTGCAGCCCTCAGCCCTCAGGTCCAGCTTATCAGGTTCTAACACAAGTCCAGACATCCTTAGGAAAAAAAAATAACAACAAGCCACTTGCCGCCACCCTAAGCAGTTCACTTCCTGTTGTTGTTTTTGACATGGCCACTGCTAGTTTCGTCCTCAGATGCTGACCGTTTCCTACACAAAGGTCGTAGTCCCAGAGAGATTACTTTAAGAAGCCCAATGGCTTCTTAGTTTCCTTGCCTTCCTTTGAACTAAATTAACTTGAATTGTCTTGTCGATCCAATTTATGAATGGACGTTTATTCCCAGAATAGCTGCTTCCCTCCTGTATTCTGAATGAATCTACCTAGAACCTTTTCCTTCATTGCTGAGGCCTATTTTTAATTGGCACAAACTCTGGTAACATGGTAGGGTGCATTGAAAGTTACTCCTGAGAACGTAATAACCAAAGTCTGACTCCTTTCCTTACTGTTGATTTGAATTAGTGAAAAATTAAATCATAATATGATCTGTTATCTTGTTCTTTTAGTCAAGGTGTATTAATGACAAACCCATATACTTGTAAAGAGTGGATAAAGGTGAAGGACTTCGAAGGAGTAAATAAAATTGAAGTAAACAAAAATCAATTTGCCCTAATTGAAGGAAAAAACAAAGTGAGTTTGAAGTTCTTTAATTTGAAAATCTGTTTCTCTTTCTCTCTCTTTTATGGAAGGATGGTGTGAAAGCAGAGGAAAATAATATGTGAGAAATATTGGAGATTGATAATCAAATAAATTGGATGATAAAATACTAGCAGATTAAGTTGGCTTGAAAACACCATTGACTTTTAGAAGTACCAATGGCTTATTAATAGCTTGGAGAAAGATAAAACACATATGCCATCAAATCTATACATGTGTTGTAAGGTGGTTGATTTTACAAGTATGAAAATGAGAAACTATGTTATATTAAAACACATGGTTTCCAAAGCCCGTTTTGTGTAGTGTGTGATCTACACCAACATAATTACACTTGCATGGATTTGAGAGCAGTCAGTGTAGTAGTATGAATGGAGTAGGCAGGTCGTAGTGGTTGTGGGGATGGCTGGATTTTCGTCTGAATGCATGTGCATAAACACAGCCTCCTTTGTTTATAGCCTGGGATTTGTTTTTTTCACAGACTGTAAGTACCGTTGTTATCCAAGCAGCAAATGTGTCAGCTTTGTACAAATGTGAAGCGGTCAACAAAGCTGGGAGAGGAGAGAGGGTTATCTCCTTTCACGTGACCAGTAAGTATTGCTCTCCAAGGGGTGGGCTGGATCCTCTTGCCAAGTGGGTGCTAAGCTACTCTGTAGCCCTTGTCATTCCTATGAGTGGCATGGTATTTAGGAAGAGGACTTGTGTTGATAAATGATGCCTTTGTTCATAAATTGAAATTCCTCAGATAGGTCCTGGGCTCATGTGAAGTCAATACATCCGACTTCACTGGAGAGATAGTGTTTCACACATGCCTTTTAATCACAAGTCCTGCATCATATTTATGTCTCTGTCATCAGAGTCTAGCACAGGGATTGGCTTATTGGGATTCAGTCCATATTGGTGGGCTTGCTGCTGAGCAGTTGACAAGGTTTGGTTTTGTGGAGGCAACTATAATGACAGGAGCAGCACCCTCCCAATGCTGCTGATTTTGTGTATTCATCTTAGTTTTATGGCTAAGCTTTAGCTGATTGGATGTTTGATAAATTTACATTTCCAAATAAGACCTTTTGGTAAAATAATACATTTTGGGACCTGAATTGTCCACTTTTGTTGCTTCCTTGTATTACATCCCCTGGGACTGATAGAGCTTCACTTCTGGTGTTTTATAGCAGTTTGAAGGCAACAAGAAGACAACAGTGTGCTGCCCAAGTTGAATTGCTATCTTCTAACCATGGGTTTTACATTTCAGGGGGTCCTGATATCACTCTGCATCCTGGCCCCCAGCCAACCGAGCAGGAGAGCGTGTCTTTGTTGTGCAGTGCAGACAGAGCTACATTTGAGAACCTCACATGGTACAAACTTGGTCCACAGGCTGTGCCCACACCTGGTTGCAAGCACTTGGATGCTCTTTCGAAAATGAATGCTACCATGTTCTCTAATAGCACAAATGTCATTCTGATCATGGAGCTCCAGAATGCATCCTTGCAGGATCAAGGAGACTACGCCTGCTTTGCTCAGGACAGGAAGACCAAGAAAAGACATTGCGTGGTCAGGCAGCTCACAGTCCTAGGTAAGGAGGCAACCCTGGCTCATCCAGAGGCCATCAGAATGCCTTAAATGTAGAGCTTTCCGGTGCTGAGTGAAAATTGCTATCCTCCAAGAGGTTATGAAGTTGACTGGTACACACTTGTCTTATTCACCGAAAGTCCTTGAAGCAGAAGGGAGCTAATAATGATGAAATGATGTATGAAAAAGAGAAAATAGCATGGTTCTTTCCAACCAATGATGGGGGAATAACTCACTAGTATCTGCAAGGGGTTAGCCTGAACCAGGGAAATTGCTGCCTTGTTCTTGAGCATTCATTTATTTAAATAGATACATATTTATTGAATGTCTAGTATGAGCTAGGAGGGTGCCAGAAGTTTACAGAGGCAACTAGATAGACAGGATGAGAATGCAGATATCCAATGGAAAGTTGTAGTACAGTAAGGTCTCTGTCCATGTGGATAGAAAATGTTTTCTGTTTTATTCCATGCTACGCTCCAGTCCTAGAACATAGTAGCTCATGCTAGTTGTTCAGTGGGATACTTGCTGCATGAAGAATGTAATGGGGGGATTGTTTAGGACCTATGAGAGCCCACGGGAAGGGTACTACACTAAAGCCTGTACCTCTGTATCATCTCATGTGGTCCAGCGTAGTTCAAGGTCCATGAGATGACAATTTTAGTGAGCACATAACTTTGAAAATTCCCTTTGAAATCACTCTCTACACCTCATCTAAACTTGTGCTTTGCACAAAATCTGCGCAGCCATGGCTCTGTCTCTTGGGAAATCAGGAAAATTTGGGGAGTTTCTCTTTGTGCCATCACCCTCCATTTTGTCCTGTTCTTTGTGTCCCTTCCCAGTTTCTAGGATGTATGTGTTCTGGTTTTTTTTTTTAATTTTTATTGTTAGGAAGGCTAACTGCCAAGGTAAACTAAGCTGTACTCAGTTTTTGAGGATAATATAATCAGAGGTCTTGGCATATTTTAAGAGGTATCTTCAGATGGTCACTAGAATAGGTTTTGCTAGTGTAAGATTTTGGTTTAAAAAGAAGAGATATTTTTGGGTGAAGCCATCCCAGGGCTCTTTGAATCACACCACATATAGGACCATACTTTCCATTTGCCTTGGTGATTGGTCTGGTTTCAAGCTAATAGAAGAATTCAGAAAGATTGTGAAGGAGGCTCCTGGCCTTGCCATGCCCAGGAACCATGTGCTCACAATGAGCTGTTTTGCTTCCCTGAGGACCCCCAGGTTATTTGCCAAAAATTATTCTTAGAAATAGACTAGAATCCAGGACACATTTAAATTCCAATGTAGTTTTCTCACTGAGATAATTTCATTTTGTTAAGTGTTGAAATGGATTCTTTCAGCAAGACTCTTTATGATGTTCAATTGGTTTGGGCAAGGTATTTCCACAGCACTTTGATGATTTACAGGAAAAGGGTACATCTAAAGTTTTGCTGAACATGTAAACAAATACTCATGGGCTCAATTTTCTTTAAATCTTTGACTGTCCTTAGGGTATTGTTGTTTTACTTGTGTTTTAGTGGGAAAGCATTGGACTAGTCTTTCAGGCTCACCAGATTCTATTAGTTCACCTGTTTACTTAGTTATAGGGACTTGGGCAAGTTGTTTCAGCCCCTGAACTGCAGTTACTTCATCTGTAAAATAAGGCTCGTACTCCTGTCCATCGTAGGACTGATAGTGAGTAGTATAAATGAGATTTGTAAAAAGTACCAAGTAAACATAAGGTATTCTTTGTTTGTTGAATTACCCTGAAGTTTTGCACTTTCCAAGAGAAACATGGCAGAATTCTAGGGTGCCTCTGGCTAGAACTTTTATGGGAAGGAAGCCATATCTGATTGGAGGAAAAAGCCATAAGGGTGACAATGTTTATTTTGCGATGTGATTATCATCTTGAATCACTAACATGAATGTTCAAAAAGATACAGTAATCTGTATGAACTGTCCTGACTTATTGGCTTCATTTCACTTTATTCAGTGACCAGCAGTACTGTTATGAACCTCTGTGTGTTTTCAGATTGGTAAACCAACAGTGTACTGTTTACTAAATTTAAACAGTTTAATAGTTTACTGATACTCAAAGCATTTCAAAACTTTACCTAAATGTTCTGTTTTCTTTTGTGTGTGCATAGAACGTATGGCACCAATAATGACAGGAAATCTGGAGAATCAGACGACAAGTATTGGTGAAACCATCGAAGTTTCATGCACAGCATCTGGGAATCCCCCTCCACGGATTTCATGGTTTAAAGATAACGAGACACTTGTGGAAGACTCAGGTGAATAAAACATGCCTATCTCTCTTTGGTTGCAGAATTTTCCTGGAGATGTTGTCTAAAATCCATATTATTTCTTGGTTTGTCTAAGGTAGAAATAATAGCTATCTCTGTGTCCATGATCCAGCTCATTTCATAGACTCAGAATCAGAGTATTCAGGACCTTGTTGAATTCTCATGGAATCCAGGGTTGATGCGTCAGCAGTTGATCCTGTATGACTCTTTGGAGTTAGACAATAGCTCAAGATAAGGGGCAATATTTATACTTTAAAAAATTTTCCTGAAAAAACAAAAAGACCACATTGTAAATAAAAAGAATCATTTTCTTCCTTTCTCAGGCATCATACTGAAAGATGGGAACCGGAACCTAACTATCCGCAGGGTGAGGAAAGAGGATGAAGGTCTCTACACCTGCCAGGCATGCAATGTTCTTGGGTGTGCAAAAGTGGAGGCATTTTTCATAATAGAAGGTGAGTGGGACTTCATAAATACATCATATAGTTTTTAAAAATTAGCTTGTATCTCACATATACTCATACACTTTGGGTTCCGGGAAGATTATATGTGATTTTTGATATTCTTTGTATTTTGTAAATTTTTCTACTATAAGTATGCATTATTTTAACCAGAAAACATAATTACTGTTATTTTAATTCTGTGTGCATCACATTTCTATCACTGCAACTCTCACTGTAGAAAATTGATAGCCAGGCAGGTAGAATATCCTCTTTTCCTTGATTCTTTCTTCATTTGAATGGCTCAGTTAACTTGTTATGAAATTATACCTCTGTATTTATTTGGAAAAACATTAAAATTACTGCCTAGCCATGAAAATCCACACTATCCAGATAGTCACAAAGGTTCATAGTTTTACCTGGACTAAAGATAATTAGGATTCATTTGTGAACAATAGACCGTTGCTTCTCTGAAATGGAAAAATTTGGGTCCTTATCTAAATGTGAAAGGAAACTTGTATGTGTATGCAGGAATGATTTGAAATCTGGCATTTTCTCAGATAGAAAAGGTAATTTGTGACAGAATATTTTATCTTCAGAAGTGTATTCCTATGTTTTTTCTTTTTTTAAATAACCCATCAGGGGGACAATGAAAGTGTATTATGTGGGTGAAGGAATGGTATGCAAGGGGAAGAAAGAAGGATGGTGACAGATGGAGGAATTGACAGATTTCTATGAACTCATTCTAATGTATCTCTCAAAGTCTAGGATGTACTCCCTTTAATCTGTTAAATCTCTGTTGCCAAGTATTGCATCTCAATACCTTGACTTGTTTTCAAATATGTAGGCTTATTACCATTTCATAAACTGCACTTGCAAATAAAGATTTCAAGTGTGAGAAATAAATAAAGATTTCAAGTGATGAGGTGGTTTGGCCACTTCCAAAGTGCTTCATGTTTTAGGGCAAATAAATCCTAAGGGAGACTTCCAGTTCTCTCCTGTGTTCTGCCTTACCTCCATTAACTCTCTGTGGCTGGTTACCAATATCTAACTCGGTAACATTGGCACAGGGATCATATTTACTTCTCAACTGAAGAGAATACTAAGAAAGGAAGAGGTAAATATTTAATTTTCCTGCTAGGTTCTGACATGTTATTATGGGAATATTGATACACAAACTTATATAGACAATTGAATCTTTGAACTTTTACTTTGTATAAATGGATTTTAAAATCTCTATGTATAAGTTACTTCAGTAGGAACATCAGAGAAACAAAATCTACTTCCAAGCATCCTTGGTGCTTGTCTCTCAACTGTTAATTCTTATTTTGCTAACTAGCTACTTACTTGTCTTTCTGCCTTCTTGAAGCTGCTGTGAGTGGGAGACTCATAGCTTTGATTCACACCTCCCTCATCCAATGAGAGCCCTAAGTGATAATTGCTTCCATATCACTTGTTTACCTCCTCTGGGTTTCATTTCTCCACTCAGAGCTGTCCTCTGGAGCCCTAAGCTTCTGCAGCTTTCCTTGTCAACTTCTATCTTTTTCTCTTCTCTTTTCTTTCATGCGTGGTTTTAAACTCATATTGCCAGGCCATGCAGCATATGCTCATTTTAGCTCTCTCTCTTTTTCTCACTCAGGCTCTTGACACAAAAGGACAAGGTAGTGTAACGATTAACTGGTGTCAGACAGACCTTGGTTAACTCTTGAACATTCTACCAACTTGCAGTGTGTTCTTGATGAAGTAACTTAACTTCTCTGAACTTGTTTCTCCATCTGAAAACTGAAGGTTGTTGAGAAGATCAAGTGGGATGACATTTTTAAAGTGATATGTGGGAGCACCTAGTAGGTGTGTAATCATCAATAACTCTTTGGCCAAAGGACTACATTTATTTCCCTACTTGGTTTCTTAAACAATCCTTTCTCAAACTCTATACAGATCAAAACACAGACTATCAATATAAAAGTAGATGTTCATTTTCTCCAAATGGAAATGCTTTCCTTCTTTTTTTTTAAAGATTATTTTTATTTATTTATTTTTATTGGGGAATTGGGGGGATGGGAACAGCGCTGGGGAATTGGGGGAAGGGAAGCAAACAAGTTGCTGTGCTTTTGTTCTTCAGTCTAGTTGTGGAGGACGTTGCTTCACTGGCCCAAGTTGGCACCATCATTGCGCTCTTCCCGGG